TATTAATTTGCAATTTATCGGTCGAAATATTATCAACAAATGCAAGAATGTTCTATGCTAACCAACAAGGAAGCGTCTTCGCGAAAGTGCCACTCCCATTACCTGCCTTATCGGATGACCAAATCTAATGCGATAAAGCATTTTGAGGACACTGCACTAAATCAGCTACTTGTGGGCATATATAGTACGAAAGTATGAGAAACATAGCCTAAAGGAGCATCCTCAATAAATTCTGATTACAAGTTTGGTGATGGCTCTTGGTAAGCTATATATAACCCACAAACATGCCTGTGACCAGATGGAGGAAGAGTAGGAGTTTCCATTTTTAGCATGCCAAAAGGAGGAGTTTGATGTTAAATTAAAGTTCATTCATGTCCCCAAAGACCCGAGGAAAATGAGCCATTAAGAGGTTGCGAGGAAGTCTCCTAACTGACTTCAAAGTCAGCGAGATGGATTGTTTGGGCTTTTTAGTTGACGTGGTCTTCGTGACAATCACCTACAAATATTACTAGAGTGATCATAAGCTTACACCGTCATTTAAAAAAAAAAGACTTACACGAGCATCTCAGACACCATTAATATGAAAGAGTGGAGAGTTACAATCTTAAAGTCAAAGATGGATGGGATCATTTATGCGCAATAATTTCTTTTACACCGGTAATGTATTTTTTTTTTTTTTTTTTTTTTTTTTTTTTTTTTTTTTTTTCCTGTCTTTTTTTTTTTTTTTTTTTTTTTTTTTTTTTTTTCCTTTTTCTTTTTATTTTTTTTTTGTTTTTTTTTTTTTTTTATTTTAAAGGGTTTTTTTTTTTTTTTTTTTTTTTTTTTTTTTTTTTTTTTTTTTTTTGGTTTTTTGGTTTTTTGTTTTTTTTTTTTTTTTTATTTTTTTTTTTTTTTTTATAATTATTTTTTTTTTTTTTTTTTTTTTTATTTTTTTTTTTTTTTTTTTTTTAATAAAATTTTTTTTTTGTGAAGTTGAATTAGGAAAAAAGCTATTCGAAGTCTTGACTTCACTCAAGATGAAAGGTCTTCAGGGATTAAGGAAATACCAGATGAGTCCATTACACGCAACAAATAAAAAGAGTCTAGTCTATTTCTTGCAAACCTCGAGACTAGCAGCATGGTTCATATACATTCGCGACAAGAATAATCAAAGTGAATAATACTAGTGAAGTTTCTGATCCTTTGTTTGTAGGAAGTTGCCGACAGGTCTCCTTGTGGCATCGATTCTATCTATATCTTGGATGTGCTTTGCCTCCACGTACAAGGGGATAAACAAAGCGGCTACTTGCGAGTACTGGTAATATTCCATAACGGCACTCCTCCGATCTCAATGGGCTCCGGGAATGTGGGAAAGGTTTTAGAGAAGGCCAAAATGCCATAGGCTAATACGCAGTAATACTTGCGCGCATAGGGTAATAGTGTCATTATAAAGGCCAAGATTTTCTTCAGCAATGCGAAAATAGCCAAAATGATGAGGGCCACGAAAGTATATAGCAGCCAGCCCTCCGGTATCAGGTTTCCGGCATGATGTGGTTTTCCAGTAGCAGTACCACTGGAATTGGTGGCAACGACAGTGGAATTGGCCGTGGGATTCAAGGAGGAATTCTGCCAGTATCCTTCTAGAAGAGTGAGACCATATTGGAAACCGAAAATCACCATTAAGACAGACATTAGAAATATAATGTTGCGAGCGGATTCATATCGGATGCCAAAAGAACATGCCAACTTCTCAAAGCGATCTAGATCACTGCCAAAAAACTGTGATAGAGAGAGGGTAGGAGCAAAATATTTTGCACGACGTCCTTCCCAGAGTAACCTCTTCGCAACACTTTGATGGCCGCTAGGATTCACTTGGAAGATTTCCAGAGCCGTCTTATCCTGGAAGTTTTTTGCATCCATGCTCGTATACCCAATCAACAACTTGATGATCTGGAAGAAATTTTTATTTCCTACATCACGTTGTGATTTGATTTTTCTTTTCTATTAATTATCAAAATCCAAATCAAGAGAGATAAGTAAATTTCTTTTCCTAGAAAGGAGGCTAACTCGGGTTTTGGTGTGCAAATAAAAGAGATTGTGTCTTGTGCATCTTAATGAATAAAAAAACTTTGAAAAATTTGAAAGTCCAACTTATTTGTATTATTTTTATATTGGAGGTTTAATATTCTTTATTTATGGATTTTTAGGCTTCGTTCGTTTCACGGAAAATGTTTTCCAGGAAAATATTTTCTGGGTTTTCCGGTGTTCGGGGGCGGAAAATAAACCACCCACGGAAAACGTTTTTCCTCAATGATTGAAAACATGAACAAAAGTAAGGAAACTATTTTCCTCTTTTCAAAAGAGGAAAACATTTTCCCCCACCTTCTTGCTTCATTCATTATCTTTTTTTATTTTTTTTCTTTTTCTTTTTTCTTCTTCTTTCTCTTTTCTATCTTCTTCTCCGGCCGGCGATTGGCCACAGGCGAGCTCGAGCCTCGCCACAGGCCAGCGAGGCTCGAGCTCACCTGTGGTCGGCAACCTGCCGGAGAAGAAGAAGAAGGAAAAAGAAGAAAAAGAAAATTAAAAATATTTTTAAAAAATATTAAAAGTATTGTAAAGAGGAAAATCTTTTTTATACCGAACAATAAAAAATATTTTCTGAGACTTTTCTAGATTTCAGCCAAACACCGGAAAATTATGCCATTTTCTAGGAAAATGACTTCTAGAAAAATATTTTCCAGAAATGTTACATTTTCCGCCAAACAAACGGAGCCTTAAATAGCATTTGTTTTATTTCGGATCAATAGTCTACCATCTTAATTTTGCAGTTATGTTATTTTGGACCAATAGTCTACCGCTTACATGAAATGGCAAAGACTTGAAAGATTTCAAAGAGGAACACACATACAAAATCGATAAGCATATTTTCACTTACAACAACAAATTCAATGAATGAACGCATACATACGTGCGTGGAAAAATAGGAAAGCAAAAATGCAAATTGGAGAGAAGGAACAGTCAATGAAGAATGCGGGTTTCATCAAATTATTATAATTACCCTTTGTATCGAGTGAAACAGAATATTCATCAATGGTATTTTAATGCATTCCACGAGCAAATTAAATGTGATAGACAATAGTTGTTGCCTATTTTTTTTTTTAATGAGATTATGATCCATAAAGAGCGAGGATTTTCACTAATGTTCGAACGTTTCAAACAGTTGAAAATGTCTACTTCCAAAGGGTCCGTTCTCTCCATCATCTTCTTCAACCTTAAATTATTTACGTGATAGCTAGAAATTGTCTCATGTGGGTTGTGACATAGGCAAATACACAGAAACTGTATATTAGGTTATAGCCTCCACGGAAACTTCGTCAAAAAGAGAATTGGAAGTAGGAGATTGGCAGGGAAGGAGTAATATTCATTTTGTGGGTGTATGCTTCTGGCGCTCGTGTTTGCGAGCTGCGACTCGGTGCTTTTCATTCCCACCACTACAAAAAAAATTAGGTTTTAGAGACGAATTTTGCCATGAAAAATTTGGCAAAATTCGTCGCTAAATGAATTTGCGCCGAAAAAAATTTCGTCGCCAATTCGGTGTCGCAAAATTTAGCGACGAAATAATATATTCGTGGCAAAATTCATCGCTAATTTGCCAAGAATTTTTTTTTAGTCAATAATTTGTGACGAACTTATTTATGGCAAAATTCGACGCTAATTTGCCACTAAATTTTTTTTTTTGGTCAGTAATTTGCGACAAGCTTATTCGTGAAAAAAATTGTCGTGAATTTGCCACGAAATTTTTTTGACTTTTGCCATGAACATTGTTCCGAAACGAATTTAGCGACGAATTTTTATTAATTCTTTAGCGACGAACTTTGCGACGAATATTGTTTAGGGACGATTTCGATTTTAAATCTAATTAACAGCAAAATTAATTTTTAGAATTTATATTTGACATTGATTAAGCACTTAATAACATCAAAATATTACAATGACATGAAAATGTGTACATTTTCCATAAGGATGACATAAATATTTTCTTTATAGTACACATAATATTTCTGAACTGCCATGGAGGGAGGGTTTGAGCTTTTACCTGAAATTATTTACGTGATAGCTAGAAATTGTCTCATGTGGGTTGTGACATAGGCAAATACACAGAAATTATGACTCGAATGACTATGATTTACATAAAACTTTAAGACTTAACCACATCAACCGAAAGGTTTAGGATTCAATTTAATTTCTTTTATGAATTTTTTTTTTGCTATGAAGAGAAAGACCACCTTAGATCGGTGCTTTATATCCTTTATGCATAAGATTCAGCTAATTAGGGAGTAACTTTTCCGTCCACAAAGTGATTGTTTCATGATTGGGAAGATTGTAATTACTATCCATTATTCTGATTACTAGATTAAGTGAATTTTGACTAAATTGAGTCTTTTAAGTCAAATACTAATGAGGATTATCATAAAAGTTTAATTTTTCATTTCCAGCACTTAATTGGATTTTCAAACAGTCCCATATGTATCTATTAAAGTAATCAACAATAATTAAAAGTAATCTACATACTCTTATTATCACTATCTTATTATGAGTATTTGACTTTATTTTTTTTAAATCACTACTTTTTTTACCGAATTTTTACAACTCATCTGAATGGCATAAAAAGTCTATTATACTGGAGAGAAATATAATGAGTAGAGCAATCACTAAGGAAACAAACGAAGATAAAAGAATGGATCAACCAGTAAAAACTGTATATTAGGTTATAGCCTCCACGGAAACTTCGTCAAAAAGAGAATTGGAAGTTGGAGATTGGGAGGGAAGGAGTAATATTCATTTTGTGGGTGTATGCTTCTGGCGCTCGTGTTTGCGAGCTGCGACTCGGTGCTTTTCATTCCCACCAAGTCAATTATGAAGTTGAATTAGGAGAAAAGCCATTCGAAGTCCCGAATTCAAGCAAGATTAAAGGTACTTAGGGATTCAGGAATTAATAGAGGAGTCCATTACATGAAACTAAAAAAGAGAGCCCATTTCTTGCTAATCTCAAGACTAGAAACATAGATTATATGCGTACGCGATGAGAATAGTTGAAGTAAATAATACTAGCGAATTATTTCCAATCCTTCGTTCCTAGGAAGTTGCCTGGGTGCCTCCCTGTGGCATCGATTCGTTTTACAACTCCCACGTACGTTACCCGCACGTACAAGGGGAGACCCATCGCGGTCGTCATCAAGAGATCATAAAATATCGCTACCAAATATTCCCCAGCCTGTTGGGATTTCGGGAATTCGGCCTCAATGGTAGTAAGGAAGGCAATGCCGAAACTGGCTATAGACCATAAAACCAGGGCACTGTCGGGCAACAGTGTAATAGCGGTGGCCCAGATTGTGGACATGGAGGCCCAAAAAACCATGCTGTTGATGATCGTGAACATAGATAGCTGAGAACCGTGCATTATAATGTCACCGGCATGATGCGGTTTGCCAATAGCAATGCCGCTGGTATTGGCGCTAACGACGGTGGAATTGGCCGGGGTATTTGTAAAGTTATCTTGCCAGTATCCTCCTGGAGGAGTGAGCGCGGCTTGGTAACTGGCAGTCGCGATTAATGTAGACATAATAAGGATTATGTTGCGAGCGGATTCATTTCGGATGCCCAAAAACATTTTGCACTTCTCATAGACAGTTGGTTTCGTGCTAAAAAACTGTGATAGAGAGAGGGTGGGAGTAAAAAATCTTGCTTGACGTTCTCGACGGTATAACCTCTTCGCAAGATCTTGGTCGCCACTAGGATCTTGGAAGATTTCCAGAGCCGTCTTATCCTGGAAGTTCTTCGCATTTACATTCACATTCGCACACCCAATCAATAGCTTGAAGATCTGAAAGAAATGCAAAGGAAACAAAAAGATGTATTCCTTCAATTTTGTGCACAAAGTGAGCTCATGCCCTATAAGCTTGAATAATGCTAGTGATGCAATGACGGATGTAAAAAAAAAACTTATTTATCAATTACCATCATTTCAACCAATGGAGTGAAGTCCTAAACCTTTTCAAAAGTGCGCTTTAATCCTTTCACCCAAATTTATTTTTGTGATAGGGTATTGCCCATGTGAGTTGTAACATAGGCAAATTCACATAAGGGATCACCTGAATTGGTATGATTTTTCATAAAAGTTTACGAATTAATCATGTCAACTAAAAAAATTTAGGATTCAATTACATGTTATATATAAGTTTTTTTGGCTTTGAAGAGAAAGACTATCTTTTTTTATGTGTAAGGTTCAACTGATCGAGAAGTAATTTTTCCATCCACAAAGTGATTATTTTATGTTTGTGTTGGCTATGTTCGGATGGACTAGTTATAAAAGAAGGAAAGAGAATTTCCTAATCAATAGGAAAAACAAAAGAATAGAATAGAATGAATTAAGTTATTGCTGTGTTAGGTTATAGAGAGATTATGACGGAAAGAGTTGGAAGGAAATTATTTATCCAAAACCATCCAACTCAGAGAGATTTGGAGCTCACTAAAATTGAGTTTTATAAGAATTCGAAGAGAAACAATCTTAATCATAGCTTTTCTCTCCACTAAATAAACTGTAAAAAAGGTTATCTCTATATCCCTCCTTTGTTTTCCTTCCTTTCTCCCTATATCCTCCAACCAAAGCATTGTTTGACCAGTTGAAATGAACTCAAATTAGAAGCAGCACGAGCTTAAGATAGTTTGGATTCTTTTTCATGTCGCTTTTTTATTAATTGGATCCTCTGCCATATTTACTTTGACTCAACTGACCAAAACTCTTTTTTTGTTTTGACTCAGCTTCCTCTTCTCCTGATATTTTCCCTTTAAACTGTTCAATGTGTTGGGTCTAGATTGGGTATGGATCGCCGAAATAGTTTTATATTAAATGTGTCCAATTGGGTTAAGTTGGTCAATTTAGGTCGGATCTACCCGAACCCAATCCGGCCCACCTATTTGATAGATCCATGCCCTAATTAAATTATGTTGAATTCAATAATCGAACAATGAAAGCACAAACAATCATGAAATCGATGAATTGAACCAGCATGAATGAACTATACCTCGAGCTGCTCTTCGGATGCAGCAATATGTAAGACGGTGTTACCATCTTGATCTTTCCATCCCAAGATATTTGTCCGATAGACTCGCATAAGCCATCCAAGCAAAACCTTGAATGCTTGAAGGTTGTGGTTCTTGACAGCAACGTGAACCGCAGTTTCGCATCGACTCGTCAAGTCGTTGATGGACGAGTTGCAAGTGGCTAGGAATTCAGCCAAGAGCTCCACCTCCATGTCTCCTTCTTTCCCGGCCACATAATGCAAAGGGGTGATCCCACATCGTCCTCGGACTCGAATCAACTTGGGGTCAAGGGTCATCAGTGCCCTCACGGTGGAATAATGCTCGTGTTGCAAAGCCAAGTGCATGGGGCTGTAACCTTCTGGATTCAGCTTCCGAGTGAAGGACCGCTTCAAGATGGCCATTTCCATGGCCACTTGAGTTTTTCCAGCGGCCGCAACAACGTGTAAAGGAGTATTTGGGAAGGGGCCCTTACATGCACGATCTAAGAGTTTTGGCTCCTCCACAATAAAGCTATGGAGCTCATCAACATCATCATGTTCTATCGCTTGTTGAAGCCGGGGGTCCATTGTTTTGACCAGGGAAATGTAGGAGAAGAGGGGCTTTGCTCGTTGTTGGTCGATGTAAGTGCGAGGATCGAACTTGCAAGATCATAAATAGTGCCGCAGTCAACCAAAGTATAATTAGGCGAGTCTTTGTTTATGATTTATCCCGTAGGTACAACTCAATCGATTGGGGGGTCTTTCTCCGTCAGAGAACTTACATGCGAAGTTTCACAATGAGTCAGCTAGGTCACGAAGAAAATTTAAATTAATCGAACCGGTGCAATCAATCCTATGCCAATAACTTACGATCCGGCAATGCACTTTTTGTTTTATATAATGTTATTGGGGTCATTTATCCCCAATTACATGAAGTTAGGGGGAGTAGCAGCTGAGGCTGGCTTGATAAATCACAAATACACCCGCCCTGGCGCTCAATAGGGGTGTGCAACCGGATTGGTTCTACCTGGGAGCCCGATCAGAACACACTGAAAATTGGTCTGCTTGCATACTCTAATTTTCCGTTAAAATATTGTGGGGTCCGTCAATGGTGCTGGAAAAAAGAAATATATGGGATCAAACAAATATTTGTTCAATAATTATCTCCAGACAATAATTGTCTCAACCTGATAATTTAATGACCATAAACTCCCATTGTCGAGATAATGACTTAGTTCAACTTAATAGTATGGATGGCGAACCATTAAAGAACCTGATAATGTGGTTTCATTAAAACGATAATTTCCATACCTTATATTGTTTATCTGGTTTCGAAAATCAAGGCTACTTTAAGGTGCCATTAAAAGAAACCTTATATCGTGGTTCCATCAACCTAAGACTTTTCAAAATTTATATTATCGAGTTGCTAAAACTGATGACATATGCTATAATCACTCTAGTAAAATTTGTAGGGGATTGTCTCGAACACCGAAGACGGCGTCAATCAAGAAAATACTAGTAGGTGCTATTTTGTGGTAAAAAGTTTTCTTTCCTCTGTATATTCGGAGCAAGACGCGTCCTTGAACACTAACCAATTTGGCAAAAAAACACATGATAGTCACGTCGAAGTTTCTTGGGAATCTTACGTGACAAGGACGAAAGTGAAATTGAATATATAGGACGTGACAGAAAACAATTTGTAATGTTGACCGTGAAGAGAAAAGGACATAATTTAACGAAATCATCGGATGCTGATTTCTTCTCCCTTTTCTTTTATAAATTGTTTCCCGGTTTGTCTGCAATTGGACCAGCCCTACACCATCAACGGTGGGGAAGTGATACTCCTGAACCAAAGAACCCGATCCAGAAATTACAAGGGCACCTCAAAGTGTGTTTATCTCGTAAGTGCCGGTACATGTTCTTTGAATTCAAAGACGCAATCTAGCTAGACGAAATAAAAAAAAATTGATCAGCAACCATTTTTGGAACTGTTACGAGACTACAAATATATCGAATCACGCCTTCAATCGAAGGGCCCCTCAAAGCGTGTTTATCTCGTAAGTGCCGGTACATGTTCTTTGAATTCAAAGACGCAACCTAGCTAGATGAAATAAAAAAAATTGATCAATAACAATTTTTGGAACTATTACGAGACTACAAATATATCGAATCACACCTTCAATAATTGAAGGGCCCGTCAAAGCGTGTTTATATCGTAAGTGCCGGTACATGTTCTTTCAATTCAAAGACGCAACCTAGCTAGACGAAATAAAAAAAATTGATCAGTAACCATTTTTGGAACTGTTACAAGACTACAAATGTATTGAATCACGCCTTCAATCGATAGCTTAAGTTCTAAGGTTGAAAAAGACTGATTAAACTCTCCATATAGGCGGATCGTTTGCCAAGTCGAGCCGAAGATCCGTCGAGCATCCTATATAGTTTTAATGGAGCGGATTTGAAACTTTGAGGATTCAGGAATGGAAAGCTCAATAGAGGTGTTGATCGCTCACGACCAAGTCACGCCAAGCTCATCCCTCCGAGATGAAGATCGCAACTTAATGCATCGTCGTGATTGTCGATACAAGGACAATCACTCAACATCATGCGCTAGTAGGTAGGCCTTGATCAATACATCGAAAGTTTCATATGATGCCTCCTAGATAACGACAACGATGATAAGAAAGAAAAACCGAAAGGAGTAATAATTAACTCCTCTTTCTAGATGTCCCTCCTCCTGAATAAATCTACTAATCAAGATTATTTAGGTGGTATAAATGAAACAATATCTATGCCTCGCAGAAGCTAAATTACTTGCTCCTTCGTGGTTATATTGTTTGTTTCCATCGCTTTGTGTCTTTCTCCATGGCTTTATTCGTTTATTGTCTTCCTTAACGAACCGCATCATTTCGTAAATCAACTAAGTACGTCAATTTAATTATCGGTAACGTCACTTCAAAATTCATTCCAACATGCTCCGGTAAAAAAAATTACTCATCTTTTCCTTTTGTTTTCTTTTTTCTTGTCCAAAAGTTGAGTGTCATTCCTCGCATCCACTAAAGTGCACCGCAGAATTCAACGAGCAAAGACTTTTCGAAAGAGATATTGTTAAGTTATACAAAAGCGCATCATGTCCCTGAAGACCCAAAGAAAATGAGCCATTGAGAGGTTGCTAGGAGATTTCGTAAGTGACTCCAAAGTCCGCGAGACATGTTCGGTGGCTTTGTGATTGACGTGGTCTTTGCGACAATGACCTACACATATCGTTAGAGTAACTATAGCATACACTCTCGAACACCATTAATCTAAGAGAGTGGAGAGTTACAATCTTCAAATCAAAGAGGACGGGGTCATTTGTACGTAAAAATTTCTTCTACACTGATAATGCGTGCTTCTCCAATACTAGAAACAAAAATACAAGGTGAGAGAGAGTGAGAGAAAGAGAGTAAAAAAATAGTTCAAATTTCAATTTCATGCAACCAACATCTGACAGAGAAATAAATATTTCTCCCGGCAAATTATGTTCGAAATTATGAGAAAGTCTGTTTCATATTTTCATTTAAGGAATGCTGTACATATGGTCATATCAAGATCTGTCTAATTGGGTTACTGCAAATGTTGGTGATAAATGATAAATATCGCCATAGCAAGCACTTTTGACTAGGAGATCATTATAGTCAGTAGCATCCACAAACCTACTGCTATAATTTAGAGTGATTCAAAAAAAAAATCTCCAGCAAATTGATCGCGTTCTTTGGAGGGTTTGCCATTGGAAAGAGAAAGAGGGAGAGAGATAGAGAAATAGAGAGGAATTACTGAAATTACTCTAAAAATATGAGGAGATCGGCTCGATTGACAAAAAAAAAAAAGCCAAATTCTTTGCAAGTCGAACTTTAAGTAGGATTACTTTGTACTCTTTGCATATTCCCTTCGCCTTTTTGAGCCGCAAGAATAAGTTTATTCCTGGTATTAGAGGTGTACAAAAGAACTGAAAACTGCCCGTACAAGGCGGTTCCGGGCGGTTCTCACGGGGACCGGTCCGGTTCCCAGTTTCAGGTGTGGAACCGTCAACTCGGACCGTTCGAACCAGATCAAAACATACATATATTTTTAATTTTTATGTTAAATATTTCAAAAAATCCTAATTTGGTGAAGACATCAATTTTGCGTGTCCTCTCCCGCATTTGCTCCAAATCGCTGCCACCATGTCCTCCGTCTCCCTGCTTCGTCCTCTCGATCCACCATATCCATTATCACCCACGGAGAACTTTCCCGAGATACCCACAAGCCCCAACACTTTCCCGAGAAGAAGGAAAGATGTCGCACTCCCACAGCGACGCCATCCCTCTCCTCCACGCCTCCTCCCGGTCCGACGTCGACGAGAACGAGAACCTCTTCGCCTCATCATTATTAGCTATTGCTAGTTGAAGCCGAGAGTCCATTGTATGACCAGGAAATTTAGGAGCGGAGGGGCTTTGCTTGGGATAATCGATAGAAGTACGAGAGTCCAACACGCTCCGATCAAAAAAACCTTACTCATCTTTTCCTTTTGTTTTCTTTTGTCTTGTCCAAAAATTGCGTGTCATTCATCGCGTCCACTACAGTGAAACCGTAGAATTCGATGAGCAAAGACTTTTCGAAAGTGATATTGTTAAGTTATATGAAAGTGCATATGAGGTTGGCGTGACAAGCACATCCTCATTCTTCGGGCTTAGCTTTTGCATTGAACTTGGCGCGAGATGAGGTTGGTGTGCGAGGTGGAAGAGTAGGAGTTGCCTTTTTTTACCACAAAGTAGGAATTTGATGTGGAATTAAAGTTTAATCATGTCACTAAAGACCCAAAGAAAATGAGCCATTGAGAGGTTGCTAGGAGATTTCCTAAGTGACTTCAAAGTCTGCGAGACAGGTTGGGTTGGCTTTGTGATCGACGTGGTCCTCGCGACAATGACGGGGTCATTTAAAGAGGGGAGTTACACTCTCGAACACCATTAATCTAAGAGAGTGGGGGAGTTACAACCTTCAAGTTAAAGAGGACGGGGTCATTTGTATGTAAAAATTTCTTTTACACACATAATGTGTGCTTCTCCAATACTAAAAACAAAAATACAAGGGGAGAGAGAAAGAGTAAAAAAACAGTTCAAATTTCAATTTCATGCAACCACCATCTGCCATAGAAATAAATATTTTTCCCAGCAAATTATATTCGAAATTATGAGAATGTTGAACGTACAGTCATATCAAGATCTGTCTAATTGGTTACCGCAAGTGCAAATGTTAGTGATGAATGATAAATATCACGAATAGCAAGCACTTTTGACTAGGAGATGATTATAGTCAGTAGCATCCACGAACCTACTGCTATAATTAAGAGTGATTCAACAAAAGCTCTCCAGCAAATTGATTGCGTTCTTTGGAGGGTTTGCCATTGGAAAGAGAAAGAGGGAGAGAGACAGAGAAATAGAGAGGAATTACTGAAATTACTCCAACAATATGAGGGGAATCGGCTCGATTGACCAAAAAAAAAGAGCCAAATTCTTTGCAAGTCGATCTTTTAAGTAGGATTACCTTTTACTCTTCACATATTGCCTTCGCCTTTTTGAGCTGCAAGAAGAAGTCTATTTCTGTATTAGGGCTGTACAAAAGAATTGGAAATCTTCCGGACAAGTCGATTTTGGGCGGTTCTCATGGGGACCGGTTTAGTTCCCGATTTCAAGTGTGGAACCGCCCATTCGGACCATCCGAATTTGATCGGTACATACATATATTTTAATTTTTACGTTAAATATTTAAAAAATAAAAAACCTAATTCGGCGAACACGTCAATTTTGTGTGTCCTCTCTCGCATTTGCTCCAAGTCGCTGCCACCGTGTCCTCCGTCTCCCCGTTCTCTCCATC